CCTTATCATTGTTATTTGATTTCTGTATTTCTATTTTTAATTTTTTATAGCCTTGTAGGAGGCCAGTTGCTAGATGGAAGTTTTGCAAAGTCATTATCTCTTTTGACTTAACTAACTTGTTTAACAAAGGCACCGAATAATCACTTGGGTCTTTAAAGAGTTAAATCTTCTAATCTGAACATGTAGAGAATAAGGCTGTAGACTGTACCAAAAAATTAGCCAGCATAGGGCCTTGGATACAGAAAAAACCAAGTTCAGTGGAATCAGTCACCCTCTTGTCCTGGGGACACATTTGCTGTAAGCATATACTCACTGCTCATAGCACCCACCCCCAACTCCCAAGCCTTGGTACATGCCTAAGAGGAAATGGAATTAAACTAAAGGATCAGATATATCACATGCATGCCATCGCTGTCATCATAGACTGCTAGCTCCTACCTGACAACATCAGTAGCATTTCTTTACCCCTTTCAATATATGTAATTAACAGATGATGTCAGACAAGAGGAATGTCATCCTATTTTCTGTATTTGATGAGAATCAAAGCTGGTACCTCACAGAGAATATGGAACGCTTTCTCCCCAATGCAGCTGGAGTGCAGCTTGAGGATCCAGACTTCCAAGCCTCCAATATCATGCATAGTGAGTAAAGCAGCACTTAAGTCCAGTGAGCATTGGATGAAGAAAATTGATGTAACCAAAGTGATGTCCAGATAATGAATGCATTGTATGTGCATATAAATCTAACAACTATGTTACCTAAAAATGTTTAATTTGTACACAAATACATGTGATCGTATAATCCATATTTTAAAAATTTGGTCACTATTTTCTCCTTTCAATATTTACTTGGTTCCCCCCTCCCTTTTAATTCCCCATCTCTTTCTATATTATATCTTTTCAGCAACCATTCTATGTCCAGGTAACACATTTTAAAACATATTTTCTCTATAATTATATAATCATATATAAAAACATACATATATTGTATTAGTCTTCTAGTGCTGCCATAATAAAGTACTGCAGATTGGTGGCTTAATCATCAGCAGAGATCTATTGTCTTACAGCTCTGGAGGCTACAAGTTTGAGATCAGGATGTTGGCAGCGGCTTCTCTCCTTGTCTTGTAGATGGCTTTCTCCCTTGTCTTCACATGGTTTCTCCTTTATATGTCTTTGTCCTAATCTCCTCTTCTAATGAAGATACAAGTAATGTTGGGCTAGGGCCCTCCCTAATGACCTTATTTTAACCAACCACCTATTTAAAGACACTATCTCCAAGTATAGTCACATGCTGAGGTACTGGGGTTTAGGACTACAAGGTATAAATTTGGGATGGGGTAACATAAGTCAGCCCATTGCATACATACACATGCATATATGTTTATATATACCCACAAATCTGAATGGTCAAAAATATGATACAAAAAATTCCAATTGCACTATCCTACAGGGAAATGCGAAATATAATAACAATGAGATAGCACTTTATACCCATGAAACTGCCAAAATCATAATTACCAGTGGGCTTGTGAATAAAAGAGTGTTCTCATGTTGTATTAGTGGATAACTAATATAGTCTTTTCAAAACCAATATATGCCTTTTAAAATTCTGATTATTAAGATGTTTAAGATGGAGCGAGCACACATTTCCTTGTGTGTCCCACTGGATGCAACTAAAATTCCTGAACAAAACGTATGGACCACCTACCTGTCTGAGAACCTTGGAAAGTTATAATGTGGGCTATACTCACCTACCAGAATGTGGCATGTGTTTCAATTCTATTCCCCTCATCTCAAAGTTTTAGTCCTTTAGCTTTGGGTTGAGCCTCATATTAAGCCTGAATTTTAGTAATAGCAATCTATTATTCTCCAAAGTCCTTTACTATCCATTATTCTAAAAATTTTGAGTTTGTTTAGTCCTTTTAGTTGCATTTTTATTTCTTATATAGTGCAGGGTATTGCTTTCCTTCTGAATGATTCCGATTTGACATTTGTGCAAGAGTCTAGTGCTTAGTATTTAATTCTAGTGGCTCAGAGCTTTTTTCTTTTCTCCTTCTTCTCTCCAGCCTTATGGCTTTGGTTTAGAATTCCTTCAGCCTCATAGAATATTGTATTTTATAATTTACTTATTGTGTTATATACTATATATTTGTTCTTTTATTTTTTTCTATTCATCATTTTTTCCTTTCCCACCACTTCTTTTTCCAAGTAGAATGGGCGCCTACCACAGTATCTGGACAGTTAAAGCATATCATTTTCATGGAGACAGTGATTAAAACAAGAGATATATAGTGACATTAGTAGAGCCAAAAAACATTTTCACTGAAAATGAGATATTGGGAGAAAAGAAGTATTTTTTTCCTCTGGGATTTCTAATATAGCTTCTGGTGGAGGTAAGAGTCTGGACTCAAGAAAGAAGAGATTGGAGTTGGGAAAGAGTGCAGGGGGAGACACAGAGGCAGAGGCCAAGAGACACAGGGAAGGATCTTGAGAGGAAGAGTCCAGGAAGAAAGATGCTAAGGCAGAGGGATAAGAAAAGAAGAAAAATAAAAAGACCACGAGAAGGGAGACCCAAACCATAAACCACTCAAATTTCCGTTAGCAGTAAAATGGATTATCTATTTTTATACAATGAAATACTATGTGACAATGAAGATTCACAAAATAAGCTATATACAACAATATGAATAAATATCACAAGCAAAATTTTTAGTAAAATGGTAAGTATCAAAAGAATACGTACAGTATTATATTATTTACATAAAGTTCAAAAATGGGCAAATTTAAGTTATCTTGTTTAGGAATACACAGGAAGAAAAGTATAAAGGGTAGTAAGGACATGATTATCATAAAAGACAAGATAGTGACTACCTCTTAGAAAGAATTCATTTGAGAATGAACACATGTGTTTTGTGGGGATACCAGCAATATTGTATTTCACGACCTAGGTGTTTGTTTCATAATTTTGTGTTTTAAAAAATTGTAGGATTTAGGATTTATTTTGTAGATGGATCCTACAAATGATAGGGAAATTGCAGTAGGAATGAAGAGGAAGGGACATGTACAGGATTTGTTTAGAAAACAGAATGCACAAGATATGGTAAATAATTAGCTATATTTGGTAAAGGACCAAGAGGATTCATGGATGATCACCAAATTTTGGATGTGGGTAATTACGAGGAGAGACAGACAAAATGGAAGAAAGAGTATTTAAAGAAATGATAGCAGAAAACTTTCCAAATCTGGGGCAAGATGTAAATATCCACATACAAGAAGCTCAAAGATCTCTGGTCAGATTAGATTCAAACAAGAGAATACCAAGACACATTACAATCAAGCTATCGAATATCAAAGACAAAATGAGAATCCTGAAAGAAAAAAAAAGAAGCAAATCACATGTAAGGAAATTCCAGTAAGGTTAGCAGCAGATTTCTCAACAGAAACTTCACAGGTCAGAAGAAGGTGGAATGATATATTCAAAGTGCTGAAGGAAAAGAGTGCCAACTGAGAAAACTTTACCCAGAAAATGTGTTCTTCAGAAATGAAGAGAGATAAAGACTTTGCCAGACAATTCCAGTTACACAAGAGGAATAAATTAAAGACATTTATTGTACACTGTGGTGACTACAGTTAGTAACAATCTACTGTATACTAGAAACTTGCTATGAGAGTAGATTTCAAGTGTTCTCACCAGAAAAATAAGTTTGTGAAGTAATGCATATGTTAATAGCTCGATTTAGCCATTCCAATATATTATACATATATAAACATTGTGATGTACATCATAAATAGATTCTATTTTTCCCTTTCAATTAAAATATAAATTTAAAACGAGTGGATAGAGAAGAATTAGCCATTCTAGTAATTAAGCCTGAGGAAGGTTTACATTCCAGTGATTTCAGGTAACTGTTATGCAAGTTAATGAATAAACCAGATAGTATGAAATTAAAAGGTGTGGTGGCTCACGCCTGTAATCTCAGCACTTTGGGAGGCTGAGGTGGGTGGATCATGATGTCAGGAGATCGAGACCATCCTGGCTAACATGGTGAAACCCCGTCTCTACTAAAAATACAAAAAGTTAGCCAGGCATGGTGGCATGCACCTGCAGTCCCAGCTACTCGGGAGGCTGAGGCAGAAAAATCACTTGAACCAGGAGGTGGAGGTTGCAGTTGAGCCGAGATCGCTCCGCTGCACTCAAGCCTGGGCAACAGAGCCAGACTTCATCTCAAAAAAAAAAAAGGAAAGAAAAAGAAAGAAAGAAAGAAAGAAAAAACAAATGAGATAAACCAGAATGTCTAAAATTAAAAAGATTGTCCATACCAAGTATTGGTAAAGACGTGGAGTAACCAGAACTCTCATACATTTCTGGTTAGGATGGAAATTTGTGCACTTACTTTGGGAGTATCTAAAGCCAAACATATGCATAGCCTATTGACTCAGGAAATCCATGTCTAGTATATATGTGTTATGGCCTGAGAGAGGCTTCAGTAAAAACCAAACCTGCCAACACCTTGATCTTGGAATTTTAGTGTTCAAAACTGTGAGAAAACACATTCCTGTTATTTAATCCACCCAGTCTCTGTGGCATACTGTTACAGCAGCCCTAGTGGACTAATACAGTAGCCAAAAGTAGTGTGCACATATTTCACAAAAGACATGTAATTATTTAATCCATGTGGAGTGTCAAAAGACAAAAATACAACAAATGTACTTTAAAGATTATAATTGCCTTTTATACATGATTCTAGAATCAGATAGCCCTCAGAATCAAATACAGAACAGCAGCCAGCAACATAGTATGGATAGAAAATGGAAGTGAGGTTTAGAGACAGCTTAATTGATTACAGTTTGACACTTTGTCTTATTTGAAGCTGTTGGTTGCCTGCAGTTGATGGAAGTTCAACAACTATAATCGGCTGAGACTAAGCTGTTTGTTACAAAAGCATATTCCTAAGTTGGGCTTTGAGTTAGTTCATCAACTAAGCCAGGCTACGCTTTGTTGTGCAAGGACTCAAGTGCAGAGGTACCCTTAGGACTAATTCAAATTAATTTAACAGGAGTTTACTTTTATTAGTTATGTGAAATGAAGTAGAATCTGTTTTTGCAAGTGGATAGTCATATTTATTATCATTTACCAAATAGCTCATTTTTCGCTGTAATGGTTGGAGATGCTGCCTTTATTATGTGTTAAATTTCCACTTACATCTTGTCAATTTCTGGATTCTATATTCTGCTTGATACATTTATCTATTCTGCATTAAGACTGCATTTTTAATTATAATAGCTTTATAATATATCTTAAGGCCGTACAGGAAAAAATCTTCAATTATTAATTAGTTATACTAAGCCAATGTCTGAGTATTGCTTAGTGGTTTGTGGGCAACCATCTTACACAGTACCTAGTAACAGGGTAGACAAGTGTTTATTGAATGGATGGATCAATAGATGTGTGGAAGAGGCTTTCATAAACAATTCCCTTTATAAAGGAAGGCCAATGTTACTTTTGCTTAGCTCTTTGGTTTGAGCTAATTTAAAATATACAGAAAATTACAAGAATAATACAGGGAACTTGCACATACCCTTTGCCCAGATTCACCAATGTTTAACATTTTGCAATTTTGTTTTTCATTTTATTTTCTCTATATACACACTTTTGTTACTTTTCTACGTGAAAATGGGTTGCAGACATCATGCCCCTTTACCTTTCAACACTTTAGTACACATTTCCTGTGAATAAAGATATTCTTTTACACAATCAGCGTGATGTTATGAAATTGATAAAAATATTTCTGTAATTTATAGCTGGTATTCCAGTTATATTAACCAATGCTGTCATTTACAGCATTTATTCCCTGCAGTACAGAGATCTAGTACAAGGAACTACTTGTCCTGCTTCTTTCATTTCCTTGAATCTGGACCTTGATCAGATGGTAACTTGAAGCACTCAGGTTTTTTTTTTTTTTTCCTAGATTTTAAAACTTATATCACATACCATCCCAAGGACTGTCGTAATCAACAAAGTTAGTTTTTTTTTTCTGGTTTCTCCTCTGTGTAGTTACTATTTTCTCCCTTGCAACTAATAAACAGTTTGAAGGGATATACTTTGAGACCATGCAAACATCCTGTTCCTTATCAAACTGCCTCCCATATAACATCCAAATTAATCTTTATCATGAGGTTTCTGACTCTCTCCTCACGTTGGGATTGGAACCCAGATGATTAATAACAATCTGCTTTGTTGGAATATATGATATGTCTTCCTGGGAATAAGATAATGGGCATAACATACAATAATTCCTAACTGTATCATGGCAATCACAATCCACAATACTAAATCCGTGATATGACTAACCTCTTTTTCCCCGTTGTTTTTGCAGGCATCAATGGCTATGTTTTCGATAGTTTGCAGTTGTCGGTTTGCTTGCATGAGGTGGCATACTGGTACATTCTAAGCATTGGAGCACAGACTGACTTCCTTTCTGTCTTCTTCTCTGGATATACCTTCAAACACAAAATGGTCTATGAAGACACACTTACCCTATTCCCATTCTCGGGAGAAACTGTTTTCATGTCAATGGAAAACCCAGGTTAGTTACGTATATTATTTTTTTAACAACAGCTGCGAATGCTTCACTAGCCATTCATATGCTCTTTTGCCCACTAGCTCCCATTTGGGCAGATATGAAATGGTTCAAGTGATTTTGGCTATTGCAAGGCATTTTTTTGAGTATTTATTTATTTATTTTTATTATACTTAAAATTCTGGGGTACATGTGCAGATCATGCCGGATAGGCATTTTAATGACAGCACCACTCAATTATTTAACTTAAAAGTCTTTGCTCTAAAAGTGTCTTCACATGCCAAGGACCAATTTTTACAATTTTTATGGATACATAATTGTGCATATTTAGGGGGTACCTGTGATATTTTCATATAAGCATACAATGTGTAATGATCAAATTAGGGTAACTGGGATATTTATCACCTCAAAAACTTATCATTTGTGTTAGGAAGATTCCAATTCCACTCTTCTAGTTATTTTGAATTACACAATATATTATTGTTAAGTATAGTCACCCTACTGTCATATTGAACACTGCAACTTACCCCTTCTATTTAAGTGTAATTTTATACCTATTACTCAACCTCTCTTCATTCCACTGAATCCCCCATACCCTTCCCAAACTTTGTTAAGCACTATTCTACTCTCTGTCTCTGTGAGATCCATTTTTTAAGCTCTCACATGTAAGTGAAAACATGTGATATTTGTCTTTTATGCCTGGCTTATTTCACTTAACATAATGATATCCAGGTTCATCCATGTTGCCACAAATGATGGGATTTCATTCTTTTTAATGGCTAAGTAATATTCTATTTGTGTATATATACCACACTGTCTTTATTCATTCATCTGTTGATGTATACTTAGGTTAATTTTATATCCTAACTACTGTGAATGTTGCTGTAATAAAAGTGGGATTGCTGGATCACCTGGTAGTTTTATTTTTAGTTTTTTGGAAAACCTCCTTACTCTTTTCCATAGTATCTGTACTAATTTACACTCCCACCAACAGTATACGAGCATTCCCCTTTTGCCACATCCTCACCAGCATTCATTATTTTTTTTTGTCTTTTTGATAAAAGCCATTTAACTGGAGTGAAATATCTCATTGTGCTTTTGGTTTGCATTTCTCTCGTAATTAGTCATGTTGAGCAGTTTTTCATATACCTGTTGGCCATTTGTTTGTCTTCTTTTGAGAAATGTCTATTCAGAACTTTGTTCATTTTTAATAGGATTCTTTTTTTTTTGGTAGTAACTTTCTTATAATTCTGGTTATTAATACCCTCTCGGTTGTGTAGTTTGCAAATACTTCATCACATCCTATAGATTGTCTCTTCACTTTGTTAATTGTTTCCTTTGCTGTGCAGAAGCTTTATGGTTTGATATAATCCCACTTGTCTATTTTTTGCTTTAGTCACTTGTTCTTTTGAGGTCTTACCTGCAAAATCTTTCCCAGACCAATGTCCTGGAGCATTCCCCCAATGTTTTCTTCCAGTAGTTTTATAGTTTCAAGTTTTAAATTTAAGTATAAATATAATCCAATCCATTTTGATTTGATTTTTGTATATAGTGAGAGATAGGGGTCTCGTTTCATTCTTCTGCATGTGGATATCCAGTTTTCCCACACCATTTATTGAAGAGGCTATTCGTTCACCAGTGCATGTTCTTGATAATTTTGTCAAAAATGAGTTGGCTATAAATGTGTGGATTTATTTCTGAGTTCTCTGTTGTGTTACACTGGCATATGTTTCTGGTTTTATGCCAGTACCATGCTGTTTTAGTTACCGCAGCTTTGCGGTATAGTTTGAGGTCAAGTAGTGTCATGCTTCCAGCTTTGTTCTTTTTGCTCAGAACTGCTTTGGCTCTTTGGAATCTTTTGTTATTCCATACAAATTTTAAAATTATTTTTTCTATTTTTGTGAATAACTTCATTGGTATTTGGATAGGCATTACATTAAATCTGGTAGCATTGATATTTTAACAATGTTAGTGTTTTCAGCTCATGAGCATAGGATAGATACCTTTTCATTTTTTCTATGTCTTCTTCAATTCCCTTTATCAGTATTTTAGTTTTCATTATAGAAATATCTCAGCTCTTTGATTAAATTTATTCCTAGATATTTAATTTATTTTTATTGTAGCTATTGTAAATGATTTTTTAAAATTTCTTTTTCAGGTCATTAACTCTTGGTATATAGAAATGCTACTGATTTTTGCATGTTGGATTTGTATCCTGCAACTTTACTGAATTTGTTTATCAGTTTTAATAGTTTTTTGGTGGAGTCTTTAGTTTTTTTCAAAACATAAGATTATGTCATCTATAAACAAGGAGAATTTGACTTTTTCCTTTCCAATTTGGAGACCCTTTATTTCTTTCTCTTGCTTACTTGTTCTGGCTTGGACTTCTAGGACTACATTTAATAGAATTAGTGAAAGTGGGTGTCCTTATCGTGTTCCAGATCTTAGAGGAAAGGTTTTCAGTTTTCCACATTCAGTATAATATTAGCCATGGTTTGTCATATATGGCCTTTATTGTTTTGAGGTATGCTTTCTATACCCACTTTGTTGAGAGTTTTATCATGAAGGGATGTTGAATTTAATATGTTTTGGCATCAATTGAAATGATCATATGTTTTTGTCCTTCATTCTGTTGATACAATGTGTCACATTGATTCATTTCCATATTTTGAACATCCTTGCATCCCTGGGATGAATCCCCCTTGATCATGATGAATGATCTTTTACCATATTGTTGAATGGCATTTGCTAGTATTTTGCTGAGGATTTTTACATCAATGTTCATCAGAGATATTGGCCTGTAGTTTCTGTGTGTGTGTGTGTGTGTGTGTGTGTGTGTGTGTGTGTCTGGTTTGATTTCAGGGTAATACTGGCCTTGTGGAATGAGTCTGGAAGTATTTACTCCTTGT